CGTGACACCAAACAGTCAAAAATTTCTTTCCTAATCATATTCACCTTAGCTTATTAAGAATAATGCAATCAGGCAAACAGTAATTGAAGCAAAAACAAACGAAACACCAAAATAATTCTTCCAGAATTATAGAATGTGCTAGATGTATAAACTTTCTTTCTATGGGACGTTGAAAATATAACAAAGTATATAAAAACTTGGAGATATATAAGTACGATAGCGCGATGCACGGGACTCCAGGCCGATGTGCATTTTATTTGCGAGAGCGTCTAATTTATTTACGGCCGGGCGCTCCATTTCGCGCCGTGAAATATTCATAGCGCCGCGACGCAGCTAAGGGAGTAAATCAAATACAGACGAACAGGACCATTTCTAAACACAACCTGCCCACTATAAACTATACAAACTAGCCAAGAAGCAAAAGTAATTATCAAGAACTATTAACTGGCGGGAATAGTTGAAATCTGAACTTGGAAATGGTAGTAAAGATTTACTTTTGTTGGAAAGTTTTTCTATGAAGCTAATGTTGAAGTTAAATTGATCGTAGGAAAAGATACAAATCCCAATATTCTATCACATTTATGGCTGTAATATTATGATAAACAAGCTAATTTAGCATTGAAGAGCTGGTTAATCCAAGTTTTTTCAATATCTGCTTCTTTCCTATCAGCAAATTGTTGGTAGTACTTGGAAAGTCTGAATCAAATGCCAATCCTGTGATTGGACGTCCGGGTATGATGGTTAATCCAAGATCAAACAAATTGATTTCCAGTCGATATTCAATCTAAAGCTTGGAAATATAGATAGCAATATGTTTCCAAGTGAAAAATGAGCTCATCCGGCATTACTGCACCAATAAAATGTCAGCCCTATTAGATCAATTCCAATAATAAAGTCATCAAATATGGATGGATTAACCATTGGGTCACCATCTAAAAACACTAAGTAAAGAGAAGTTTCGGCCCAACAACTTATAGGAGGTAAAGATCTGATTACTGTTAAGATATGAGAATAAAAATAAACTTGAACATAGAATTCAAATAAAAACAAATTAAATTAAACAAATATAAATATTTTGTACCAACTAATCCCGAGCTTACATTTTAACTATGTGACTTCGTGGGAAGATTGTTTTTTAGCAACTATTGGTTGCAAATTTTGTATCCTCTGATAGCTTGATATCAAGCAGCAATGATGTCAGAAAATAACTTTGGATTATATATGTAAAATGTGACAAAAAATACGAAGTCTTTCCAGGACATTGATGCAATATATTTCATCAGGATTAAATAAAAAAATCTAATTAAAAATCTTTTTAGATGTGGATTGGTCAACCGCTGGGTTGCATTTTAATAAAATGCTAGGTTCAAGGTTCTAACTCTTAGAACATATATAGTTCTGATAGAATAGAAACCAATAAAAATCCAATTAAACAAAAAAATAGATCTTACGGGTCTTCAAACTAATTTAATCTTTGTCATAAGATATGTATACAAGGTGGTGATATCATTAAACCAAAGGAAAAGATATCGACATTTCATTGAAATGCGATACGTAATATCAAATACATACAACTAAATATGCAAACTATTTCATTTATAAAAATATTTAGTTTTATTTATCATGTTAGATAATTTTATTTTCTTATAAATTACTATCTGTCCATATAGATAGATATTGAGTAATCAATTTGATAAATAAATAACACAGAATTTTAAAAGGAAATCCCAGTGGTTCACCTTTTATTAATGTAATGTACAATAATTAGACTATGTAATTTCAAAAATACATATCTTGATTTAAAAATACGTATCTTGTAAACAATACGACCATAATGAAGAAATACATCATTGGTTATATTAGTGAATTTGAGAACTTTATTTCAATGCCATAACATTTCAATAAATAGAATTGTTTGTAAACTGGTCCGTTTAGTTTGCATGAACGTTATACAAACAATGAAAATTTAGTGCCACTAAATATCATGACATCAAAATTGAATTATTTTATTAACGGTATTCATATGCGAAAATAAAATATTTGATTGCTATGTGAATATAGACTGCGTTTATGTTGTTTATAAATCATATAGAAATGATTAATAGATTCTAATAATCACAGTGTGCGATACTACTAATAATTTTACACTTTTGTTAAGAAAATTATATTAATTGCATAATTTGTAAAATTTTGCTTTTGTAAATATTTTAGTATATAAGCATAAAACGTCCAAGAATAAAAAGAATATCTTTGAGTTAATAAAATGTGCTAGCTAGTTTAGAGGCAAGGCACTTAAGTACCAAATTTCCCATAATGTAACCATAAGTTATTCCACGTATGCAAGCGCGAATTAATATTAATAATATTAAGATCTCGACTGAATAATTTGGTTAATAATATAATAGATGCACATAAACGCTGAATATAGATTGCGTGTTTAAAAGCGACTGTGTATTATTTAGTGATTCCATGTGCAAACTCGAGTAATAATAAGTTTGTTAAATGAAAACAAGCACGACGCTTTCTGCAGAATTTTATTCTCCGTATTGATTCCATAGTAGGAGTACAAAAATTAATTAATAGTTCTTGATAAAGTATTAATTGGAATGGGTCAGGCAATTTGTAAAATTAAATTAGATCAAAGGAATTAATATATTATTAAGTCTATTGGGACATACGGTATACAACCATGGGGATCCAATTCCAAACCAAACGTGATAAACATTCAGAGGTGCCAAAATAAATTACTAAAAAAGTTTGAATATCGCAAAGTATCGCCAAATTAGTTATTAGATAAAGAACAGAATGAGAAAAAAAACGCATTCAAACAATTACAAAAGCTGCTTCGAAGATCATCTAAACTCACTTGCCACAACACTACTAGGGCAGGGTTGAAAAAAAAATTTACTAACATATGCCAATTTTTCGAAATTCCTGACAAATGAACAGAATATTCTATATTTTTAAAGCCATAGTTTTACTTGTGTACCATTTCAGGGCAGATGTAAAAATTACTATATAATAAAAAATATAATTTATGTAGTTAATTAATTAAGTAAATATAATTTTTGTAGTTACCTTGATTTTTATAAAAAAAAATAGAGAAATGAGCACGTTTTCATATATACATTTATTATTACTTTATAGAATGTGTATGTTGCCTTTGAAGTTAATATAAACCGTTTTTCTTGGTTAGCCACTAACCATAATAAAAATCACAGTACATATGTAAAAATATTATATTACTTTTCCAATATAATATACTGTATTGCAGAAAATAAATCCTTTCTATTAATTTTAAAAAGAAATTATAAAATGTGATATGCTTCGAATTATTGACATTATTGTGTAATCGTTTTCATGGATCTGAAAGTGGCAGTTCATGTTTATGACAAGAGATGCATTCGATCAAAAAATAAATTCTGCATATTGAATTGATTATTGAATAATATAAATAATTCAATTTGATTGATCACTGTCATGATAATACAGAAATTATTTTATTTGAAAGCCAACTGGTATATATACTATTACCAGATTCTTTATAGAATATATATGCTATATATCTTTTTATTCTATATATTTAGCAAATCATTACTTTTGATTTATAAATCTTCATGTTGAGCGTCTGCTAAATATTTAGGCTTGAACTTTGAAACTTGAAATGTTTTAGAGAATTGTTATTGTTCGCACAAACTACATGTATTTATTTTTTCTTATCCACTTCATAGTTTAAATTACCTCTTTGTGCTATTTTATTCATTAAGTATATTTCACATAGATCACATAGTGTCAATCAGTAAACAGTGAATGCGATAGCATTCATTTCCATTGTGATGCAGAAAGACAAATGGTACAGGATTCAAATTTTCAAGTTAATTATGTTGCATTTAATTTTATATAATCTTACGGTTTTGTAATGTGTGTGCCCAGCAAAGAACTAATTAAATAACTAACTAACTTAAGGTATTTTCGTATTATCTTTTCCCCTAGTCACTAATTAGTTTGAACAAGCATATTGCGCAAAATAGAAGCGTAATACTTGACGTGGATGCTATAGTATTCATCGCATTTAAGGGTTAAAATGTAAAAATCTGACTACCCTAATAAACGATGTCTAATCAAATTTTGGATATCACAACTAATAATAAAAATAGACTATCATTTTTGGTACCTTGATGAAACTTGTGTCCGCAAACGTGTTAAACTAATTTTTAATGTAATACTTAATATTTTAAGGGTTGAAATATGAAAATCTGACTACCCTTATAAACAGTGTTTAATCAAATTTTGGATATCACTGCTAATTTATAAATAAAATGACTCAATTTTTGTACCTTGCTGAAACTTTTACTGTCCGCGAACGTGTTAAGCTAACATATTTTGATAGGAGTTTATAAAGATTATTTGATGTGTGCAAAATTTAATAAAATTTATTATTTCCAGTTCGCAGCTGCACACGAATTTGTTTGTAAACAGTTGGTAGTACAAAAATATTCTGATTTTGTTTTAACACGTTAACTGCCATGTCAGTCATATGTGTCTGTAGCAAAGAAGTTGGTAGTATAAAAAATATTCTTATTTTGTTTTAACACGTTAACTGCCATGTCAGTCATATGTGTCTGAGCCGTATCAAACATAAATTCTTTCAATACATCAAGAAAAAAATATAGGGCCATGTCAGTCGTATATGTGTGACATAAAAATAGTTATAAAAATAAAAATAGTGTTCTCCGGGAATTTTGTCGAAAAAAATTTTCTTCGACAGATTGATATTTTCTTGATACATTTTCAACTAAATGTAAATAAATCTACCATGGGTCATGTACAAATATTTCTGAGATTATCGTGGCAATTAACGTGTTAATATCACAATCGCATCAAAACACTTCCGCCACCATATATTTTCATTCTCTCAACTATCTCGCGTGCGGTATATGTAATTAGATTACAACAATACCCAAACGTGTCTCGTTAAGTCATCAAATTAAACAATTTACCTTTTCGAAGAAGTCTACAAAATCGATTCCGATTGTTCTGCTCAGCAAAATCTCACTTCCCAAAAATAAAAGAAACCACAAAGTCACTTCGAAATATAACTAAAATAGTTCGACACAAACACGATTATTTGCGAAATTATACACGCGGCGACGTACCGGAATTCGAAAAGTCTGCACGATGACCTTCCTCTAACATAACGCGAAGCGTACTGAAGACTGATCTCCTAAATAACGTAGCATTTCGATAGGATTCGGATGGAGCAGGATTGGACAGGTAGTGCGCATGCGCAGCAGAAAAAGCAACAGATGTCGTGTGGATGGAATTGTACTCGCAGCAGAATAATATTGTCTATGATAAACGTCAACAATACAAACGTTGCTTAAATAATGCCAAGCAATTGGAAACTAGTGTGGCAAACCTCAAGATTTACACGGGCCAAATAATGAAATTCAAATTATACTTCGGCATCTTCAATTTTATTAGGTCCACTTATATCGAGCCCATCCGGATGAATAAAGTAACTCTGGAGATATGCGACGTAGTCATACTTATTAATCAAAATAAAAACCAACCAATATTTTACACTCAATTCTAAAACCAATCTAGTCCTTATTTAAACTGAAATGGTCTACAACCGGTGGTGTTGTCGAGCCGGAACGCGCCGGAACGTTTCCGGCGAATCATTTTCGAGCCGGAACGCGTTCCGGCAAAAAAAATTTAAAACTAGCTGTAAGTGGAATTCTGTCTTAAGCCAATTAGGGCATCGTGCCTTAAGGCAAATTGCTGGAACTTCCCGTACCGCAATTCAAAATTCGAGTAATTAAAAATAATCAATAATAATAATCAATAAAAGTTGATCGATGATTTAAAACTTTTAATAAAATTTCGAACCATATTAAATCATTCTATTTTAAATCATTTATTTTGAAATATTTTGGAAATTCTGAACTTTTTTTCAAAGCAATCATACTGCTTTAACTGCATGAAGACGAAAAAACGCGAAGTCTAACGCGTAAACATTTGTACGGAACCATAGGAATGTAAACAAAATTTATACTTATTGTTAAAATCTCTATAAAATATCTGATAATTTGATGTGCATATGTCTGATATTCATTTTTGACCACCAAATGGCTCATTTTTTTACTTTTTCCTCCATATCTCCAAAGTCGTTGGGCCTGCTTTTCTAAAAATTTGAACAGTTCTTCATTTAGTCAATACAAATAAAATGTTTTTTGAATTATTCAAATCGTAAGCTCCGTTCTCTTAAAAACTGAGTTACCGTTTTCGGCACTTTTTGCCCCGTATCTTTGAAACGGCTAGACCTGCCTTCGCCAAAAACTAATCCGCACGTCTCCTTATCAATACGAATCGAATGTATTTTGAATTATTCAAATCGGTTGATCCGTGTTCCCGAAATCGTCGACGAAAATTTGTACACATATATCCATTTTTTCTAAGGTATGCCAAAATGTTCAGAAGGTTTTGAAACGTAAAGATATATAAAAATTTTCATTTTCGATTTTTTGCGGTTACTATAACTTGCCCTACAGTAAGTTAAAAATTGCTACATACAGAAAGTGATTTGATAAGTGCATTTTATAAATTATAATTTAACTAACTTTTATTAAACGTTTCTATTATTGTAATAAACATACATATATGTGCATGAAATGGGGTTTGTCTTTCCTAAATCCTTTACCACCTGAGCGACTTAAATAAAAAGCTGTAATGAATTATTACATCAATTTATATATAATTTAATGCAATAATTACATGAGGTACTATCACAGGATAGCTATCCTTCACAGGCCATCATATTAATTTGTCTATAATAGTATAAAAGTAGCTGAATGTACTTATTGTATAGTTTGCTATGTAAGATAAAAAAAAAAAAAAAAAAAAAAAATTCTAAAATTGTAAAGGTACTTTGCAAATGCGACAATTCATAACGATCTAAAAATAAAAGCAGTTCAAGATATTGCAAAAAAAACATACTGAAAAACACAAACAAAATCTAGAAAATCACCCATCCAGTAGCGCCAAATAACTTGCATTCTCAAATGTTCGAAAAAAAGCATGACTACTGGATAACGCCTAAAATTCTAAGATTAATTACTCATTTTTTCTCTTACATATACACTTACTGTAGAAACATTCAATTTAGCTTAACATAAAAATACAAACAAAATCTAGGAAATCACCCAAATCCAATAGCGACAGATATCTTTATATTCTTTTGAGTTAGAAAATTAAGTGAAGTATACTACTACTGGATAACACTCAAAATTCTAGGAAAAAAAAATTTTTAGACCTCCTCAGAGAATGCTACGTTTCTTAAAGAAAACTTTTTACCTTCAACATGAACCTTATATTACAGGAACTCTAGTAGAGACGGGTGAGGGTTGTCTAACCCTTTGCTGTAGAAATGTCCAATATAGCTTAAGAATAATTTCTTTGTGCTTTCTTATTGTTAAATAAATAAGAAAAGGAAAATTATGAATTTATGATATCTACTACTGTTCAATAAACGGTCAATCGCTCAAACATTCACATATGAGCATATCATCTCATTATTCACAATATATAGAAATGTATTAAAAATACTATTATATCACTATGTTAAATTACTAAAAAGTGCAAAAACTGCCACAAAATATTTCAACTGTTACTACAATATACTTTAAAAATTTAATTCTGTAGAAACTGGATATAAAAATTGTTTTTTTTTATCGATTTTTGTATTGCAACTTTTGTTCTTTTTAAAGTTGAAATAAACTAAACAACTGAATAATCTACTTATTCTACCTGTTTAAGCATCTAATAATTATGATGTCCAAATCACATTCTAATTGCAGATGTGGAGAACCTATCATGATACTATCATATTTTACCTACTAAAAAGGTGAAAGACACAAAAAAAGTGTAAAATGTGTAGGGTGAAGAAAATTGTAGATAATGAACGACTTAAGTAAGATGTAAAAATTTGAGGAATTGAAGGAGCATGACCGGACATAGAATCACCAAGTTTGAAAAGTCAACTAATGCGAGATGAAAATAAAAGTTTGTGTAACAATAATTGAATAGCAATCAGAAATAAAATAATTCTATAATAATATAAAATAGTACAGGACACGAGGATTTTAAGGAAAAGAAATCTTTTCAAAAGGTACACGAAAGCATAGACGCAAAAGTTTGAGAAGCGAATTATAGAATGTTGAATAAAATTGAAGTGTTCTCACACCAAGATCTCACTTTTGGACGGAGCATCAAAAACATAAAATAGTCTGCAATAACTTTAAATAATTAAATTGATTAATTATTGGTGATATTGTAAATGCCAACGTGCATTTCCATAATTCTCATTAAGTTTATCAACTTTTATGCAACAACTCCTTTAATCATATTCCATACTATCTTTTCATAACGATTATAGTCTGCAAATTCATAAAAAAAAATTAAAACCAAAAAACCTAAATATTTTATCGTAAATTTAAGGTATAAAATTGTCTTAATACTGAATTGTTCTACAGATAGAACCAACTGATACAACCACAAGGGGTTGTTTTGAAATACGAACAAGGGTAAATATTAGAAGATATACAGCAGTTCCATCTGCCAGCAATAGAAATGATGAACAGCAAAAGACAAAACCCAAAAGACAAAAACGTATTTAAATTTGATTTTGGTTTTAGATTTTACCGAAAATAATTTCAATTTTGTTGCTATATAAAAAATATTAAATAAATAAACGATGCCTATCATAGTTACTACGGATAGTAACTAATCATTTTCCACAGAAATATAAGATTTTCATGCTCATGCTTCTTAAGGTGAGCATGAGCAACATAAACCGGATACCAAATATTTTATTTTCATGATAGCAGTCATCAAACACACTAAATTGATTATTTTCACAAAAATAAATGCATTATATCCATTGGTTGTAACTGTAATCTTGAATTCTGTAACAATATTGAAATTTGTTGAAATCTGTTACATCTCGACTCAATTTAGACAAAACTTGCAAAAACAACAGATGCTCTTTTTCTGATTTATCTTGAACAATTCTGAAACTTGTTAATCTGAAAGAAGTTGTATGTAGAATTTATGAAGTGTGTAGCAGTAGTAGAAGGCTTTTTATATGTTGAACCAAAACAGAAAATTCTGACTCGTTTATATTTCTTTGACTTCGCAAACATGTGATTGTTCATCATAGGTCCATTGAGTGTGCTGATTATTGTTTCATTATACCATTTCTCCATCTATGTAATTTGTTATAAATTTATAAGGCACTAAAGAAGCAATTGGACATAAAAATTATGTATTGAGGCAAATACATTACATTCTAATACAAATTTAAAACAACAGAGTTACATCAAAATTAGCACTTATATTACCCGTATAGCAACAGAGGTTATTAATTTGGTCATAAACGCACCACTGAAATTTTTAGCATTTTTGTAAATAATTGTATAAATTTTTACTTCACAGATATTATGAGTTAAAATCATATTGTCAGAAACAATTATTGAAAATTGTAGGTTTCTTCCATGATCATAAATGCTAAAAATTTATTACTAGTGTGTTTTATGAGTTATGAGAATAATATATATATATATATATATATATATATAAATATATATATATATATATACATATGTATAATAATCTTCATCATTCGTCTCATTATTTGAATATAGAGTACGAACTTGGAGTTTTAAAACAGAAATATATACCTATTTATAGTAGGAACACAATTAATCAAAATCAAGTAAGACTATCCAACACAAAATAAACCATTTGCAATGACATAGAAGTATCACTAATAACTTAATACATTGAAGATCTAAAATCTAAATGTCCCATCTCCTCGTACATCTTTGTAGTTCATATAATACATTTGGCACAGCACGAGAAAAACAAAACTAATAATCACTACTCATATTATTATATAATAAAGTATCCAGAGGGAACAAAATATTGTAAGTACTTTAATGACACTACTGATTTCTATTCAAGAATTTTTCACACTTGTGACAAATTATATAAGTCACAATGAATCATATGAACCAACAAAAATGTATGCAAATTTGGGATCATAGTAGTTTTAAATCTTTTTCAAAATTACCTAATCTCCAACATTTATTATTTAATAATAAATTTAATTTAAATGACAATAATTAAATGATTTAAAATATGCGAAGTCAATTATTGTTGGATTTTGCTATCAAACTAACTTTTACTTTTTAAACTATCCGTAACACATTGGTAGAAATATGAATTTCATTTTATGTTCAATTTAATTTAATTATTATCATTGAACAAACATATTTAAACTACATTTCTTAAAGAAATTATTTATAAACCTAGATAAACTGATAATGTCAAATAATATTGCTAAGCTATTGGTTTATATTGCGATGTAATTAAGCATTGATTAATTCATGCAATCATTAATCAATTCATAACATGTTCCATAAATGAAGACATATATATAAAACTAAATATTTAAACATAAAAGGAAGAAAATTTTAAAATTATATATAATTTTTAAAACAGAAGTCTCTTCAAAGAAAACAATTCAATAAAATTTCTAAAGAACCAGTCTTACTGCTTCACCTCAAAAGATTATCTAAACAATATGTTTGCTATTATGAACAGTCTTAATGTTTCTTATTCAATTGCATTGCTTAAAATACGACAGACAACTGTTGAACTAAGATCAAAGGCAGTTTAAATTGAAATTGTAAGAATATATATTCACATAGCAAAACATTTACTGATTTTAATTAAAAAACTAGAAATCAGAAAATACTCATTTGGCTAAAATTTTGATATTATATGTCACTGCGGATTACTTCAACTTATTTAATATTTTATTTACTTCAAATTTTATTGCTTTTAATTATTTTGAAAATGGAGTAGCAAAATACATTTAATAAGTAATGATTTCCTTATAACACTGATTACATAACATCAAAATTTTATCCATAATGCTTATGTGAAGAGTATTTTTAATTACTAATATGCCATTAATTAGACATAAGTATCAAAACTAAAAGATTAAAATATAATAAACATTGAATTATAACGCACAAAACTGATTTTGTATTGGGAATAAGCATTTATACATTAACTAAAAATTCAACCTTTATTATGGTGTCTACCTTGTGCTAGTTATAATACTATTCCGATACAATTCATGTGCCACATACAAAACAAATCATCTAACACGAGCATGATTAACAATTATTATTTCATTGTATTAAATACAATATTAAAATTTAAGTAATCATTGCGATCAGAGGTAGGCAGTTGGCTTACAAATGTTTTCCAAACTATTCTTTGAATATTGCAGTAGGAATGTATCAATATTACTATTTTAACAAGTCAATGTAAAATCTGTTCAATGTTAAATCATTATGTTTGATTCACAATACAAGATAATGATTTGGTTCAACTGTAAAAAGCACTTTCGATTTATTCAATTCTTCATTTTCAAATGTGTAATGTCACACTGAGGTATTACAACTTATTAGTGTCATCTGAATGTATTATAGGTACATCTTGTGTATATTATAGGCCTTTGGCATTATTGTTATAATCTTTTCTTAAGAAACATTTGTGCATTGGCACTCTCGATCACAATTTTTATATACAATTTTTTGTAGAATAATTTTATCCAAATAAAATATGTTTAATATTTTATTTTGCAAAACGAAGATGAGTATAATACTACTAAAAGCAAAAATTTTTGTTCCGTTATTGGAATTTTTGATAAAGGTTTTCGAACTACGTTTCAAAAGATCACTGTGTCATGACGTTCACATCAATTTTTTCATGTTTTCGATAATTGCCATTTATCACAAGCTAATTAAACACAATATATAAGAAATTAGTTCTTATATAAAAAACCTTAAAACGTATAATACGTAATAATTTTTAAGGAGGTACATTTATTTATCATAACTTAATATTATTAATATTTTTGGTAATAGTGATTTACCTGAGGTAGTATGAAATATTCCTAAAAGATATAAAAGTATGAACACATAATATTTTAGACCTACTTGAGAATATTTTTAGATAAATTTTATTATAAAGTTAGTCTATGCCAATATTGTATAAGGCATAACAATAATTCAAAAAAATCAAAAGTACTTTACTTTATAGTCAAGTAATTTTATATATTATTTTCAAAAATATTAGATATCATATTTAATACTTTTGAATATCAAGCACTAACTCACTTATTAAAACAGTGAATTATTAAGATAAACCAATAGATTTAATCTTATACCTTTTGATTGTTCTTGAAAATTATCTAAAAAAATATTCTCTATGGCATTTTACTCTATTCTACGCTTATTCACTAGATATTTATGGCAAAATTTAAAATTATATCAGTCTCATAATTTTTTTTATTAAGAGCTAAGTCAGTCCCAAAATTATAATCAGTCGCCATATATATTTTTGATTTCGTAGTCAGTCAGTATATATACGATTTCATAAATGTTCAGTCATTTTTAAACCTAATGCTAAACGACAGTCTTGTCAGTTACTGTGAGGCCTTTATAAAAAAACACGCATATTTAATTCTACTACGTTTTTTAACATATATATTGCAAATCGTAAAATAATGTTTTTCTCATTTATAAATTGTTTTAAAATATATAATTAAGTCCAGCTTTCGGAGAATCTGTATGTAAAAATCATGTCAAAGTATTGTAAAAAGTAATGTAAATTGAATATTAAAAAAAAAGAAAATATGTAACTTTAAGTCCGATTTATAATTAATTCAATCATAAACTCATTTCGTTTAAAAAATCTCAAGAATTATTTCATTAAGTCTTAAAGAGTGTAGATATTGCAAAAAATTAAAATATTTGTATAAAAGTTTTATTAACATTGCACATATCTCTGGAATCAGGCAAAGTTTCAATCATCACCACAAGTTGACCATAAGGGGTAAGAGCAACATCTGATGGTCTATCTTTTTCATCATGACCAACTCCGCGAATATCTATCATCCACAAAAATTCTAATTGAGGTGAAAATACTAAAACTCTTTGATTTTTACTATCCGCAACTATAATTTTGCCCTTATCATCACAAATTATACCAGAAGGACGACTAAAGTCCATTACACCCGCACCCTCGCAGCCATGGCTGGCTGAAATTTTAGTTAATTGGGAATCTATCAAAAGTAAACGATGATTTTCAAAGTCTGAGACTATAATATCGCCTTGGGGATTGAAACAAACCCCGCGTGGTGTTGTCAAACCTTTAAGAAGACGATTGTGATTAGAACCGTCAAAGTTAAAGCGGGTTACAAAAACACCTTCGCTGGTAAATAACTGAATACGATGATTTCGCGAATCGGTGACTAGTATATCGCCTTTGGCATTAACAGCTACATCCCATGGATACTGAAATTGTCCAGATTCTTTGCCATATGTGCCAAATTTTAAAACAAACTCGCCCCCAGAAGTAAACAACTGAACTCTATGATTATCTTTATCAACTACAACGATACGATTCTGAGGGTCAGTCGTAATACCTGCGGGTAAATCAAACTCACCCGGACCAGTCCCCTTTTTCCCGAATTTTAGCTTAAAATTACCGTCAGCTGTAAAAATTTGCACACGATTGTTACGCCTGTCGGCAACTATGATGTTCCCATCAACATCTACGCAAAGACCCCATGGTCTGCTTACCTTACCATCTTCATGGCCATCTAATGCAAAAGAATGGCGTGGTATTTGAGGATTGTGCGGCATTTTGGCGATAACTGGTGTATTTAAACCAGGAATACACTGTCCAGGACCTTTGGCGATATAAGGTCCCGGCGAGGGATGGCTCGAAGAAGGGTTTGAGAAACCTGTTGGCATACCAACCAGGTAACGCGGTGGAGCACGAAGTGACGATTTACCTGCGAGAGAGCCATGGGGGGATAAAGATGTAGGCGCCGAAAAGACGTCACCTGGAGAAAAATGTTGGTTTATGATAAATATCATAAATTGTCAAGGGTTGGAAAATAACAACTAACAGCAATTTAAACAAGAATAAAATTAAATAAAAAGATTTTCTTAAAAATTGTATACTATACAAGTTAGTTTAATCAAACACATAATAATTTTTCACTTATGGTAAAAATGATAATACGAGAAAATAAATTTTAAAAATAGCATAACTAAAAATGTATGAAGCTATAAGAAAATAATATTTAAATTGCTTTAGAAAAATGAAAAATAAATATAAGCGACTCACCTAAATGTCTGATATCCTGCAGCACTTCAAAGTTAGGGGTAACAAATACAAGTGATTCTTCTTTGGGTTCAATTTTATGATACGTTGCCATATGTTCATCGATAGCTTCCCGAGCTCTACTATGCACCAGCATGATATCAAGTACATCACGTTGTTGGTTCTGTTCAACAGCCTTCGTCATGTCATCAACAGCCATTGCCACACCAGCCAAAGCACCTCGTAACCATTCCATTTGAGCAGCCAAGTCATCCATGCGGCGTTTTTTCAACCGCTCTACGCGTTCTAGTAATTCACGCTCTCTTTCTTCAGTAGATTGGATTAGTTGCTTGAAGAATCTACAAGGATAAATGCAAATGATAAATATTGAACTTTTTATTCGTAATAGGAAAGTCAATAAAATTATAGCGAACCTCCGTATTCTAGTACATGTTTCTGCAGCTTGTCTTTCAGTACTTTTAGCAACGGCTACAGCATCATCAATTCTTCCTTTGATCATTTTTGTCCCTAATCTACCCACATCTATTGATTCTATTAAATGTGAACGAGCGCGTTCAGACACGACAGAAGCTGCAAAAATAAAAGTAATTCAAAATAGAGTCACGAGTCGTGTTTATTAAATAAAGTTCTTCAAATGTTTTAAATGATCATAAGGTTGGTATGACATATAATTTCTCACATGAAACCGGTCGGCAAATATGATCTCTGTGTTCCCATAATGAACATTCTTGGCAAACTCTTCTAGAGCAAGTTTCGCAGTAGCATCGCAACTTTTCTCCATGACGTCTACATCTAAAAATAAACAACATTATTAAAGTTTAACTCATTGAATAACAAACTTAAATTTATACTTAAAATTATAAAAATAAATACCTGAATTCATCATCTTCAGAATTATCATCAAATTTTCCATTTGGACTACCAGGTGCAAGAAGTAATAATGAAGAAAGATCTTCACACAGTGATGAGCCAAGTGAAGAACTTCCCACAGAAGTAGTACTTGTATGTGGGGATGATGAGGGTGTACTATTTGATTGAGAATTTGTTGTAGGCGTCAAAGGCGATGATTGTTGATGACTAGACAGTAAAGAATGGGTAAAGTATCCAAGACGCATTGAAGAATCATCGTGTAAACTGGACTCAAGGCTGGAAAAAATAGAACTTTTTGTTTTCCATTATACTGCAACGTCTTTAATTGAATCTAGTTTCGTAAGTATGATTTATCTTACCTGCAAAGATCTCCATAATGTCGTGTCTTCTGGCTAAGGGAGTTGGCATGTGATGGTGGTGCGATGGCTTTGTCGCGCGGCGACAAATATGATGTTGGGGCGACAGAAGTCGAGGACGCGGATGAAGGCGATATCATGAAAGGCATTATAGGGCTAATGGTGTGTAAGTAGATGACTCACTAGGACTCATCAAAATATTGGTTATTCTGAAATAAACTGGTAACAAGGAATAGTTAAAATAAGTTCACATATTGCACTTGCAACCACACCAAATTATGTTATCATGCAATGAAGACCCCAGCATTGTTTCCAAACTTTTTCACCTCCTACATTTGAAAATCAGATAATTTTGATACTGTCTATTCAGTCTCACAACATTGATTTATTCGTAAAAATATGGCGTTATTAGGTTGGATTTACTAATTTCATATCTATTAACAAGTCAATTGATTATGTTATTTTTATAATTTTATTACAGCATTTCAATAATACAAAATTTTAATAGAAACTGTAAAATATAGTTAAATTCAGTAAAAATCTCAAAAATTCTGTAGAAATCTTGAAAATTTTATGGACTGCAACTTCTTCAATTGCTTTAATGGCAAATACAATCGGTTTCATAAGGTTTGTTGATGCCAAATTCGATGATTCCAGAATTTTTATATAAAAACCCATCACCCAAGATGATTCCAGAAAGTTGTATATAAAAACCCATCACCCAAGCAAGTAAAATATCTTCAATCTAATTGCGTAACTTTTCCAAATATCATATTCATCTACACTGAAGTGCGAATGGTATTTTCTTCTTGAATTAGACTCGTTAATTCCACTGTTTTCTTTGAAATTAATTTCATTTCAAATAAAAATTAAATAGTGTTCAATCTCAAAAACGACTTACAACGCAAAGCTTGTACATCACCTCTGCAAGAATACTTCAAAATGTCTGTTTCATACAGTAAGTGCATTATAAAATAAAACTAGCTGTAAGTGGAATTCTGTCTTAAGGCAATTAAGGCATCGTGCCTTAAGGCAAATTGCTGGAACTTCCCGTACCAAAAATTATTTTTTTAAAAACGATTAACATTTTTGAAAAAATTTTACTTCGAAAAAATTAGAGAGAAACTATAAATTTGACAAAAAATTACTTTTTTTGAAAAAAAAAATTTTTTTGGAAAAAAAATGTTTTTTTCATTTTGACATACTTTGGAAATTCTGAACTGTTATTCAAAGCAATCGTACTGCTTTATCTGCATAGAGACAAAATGTCAAAGCGCGCAACTGCCGCGCCGCCGTCTAACGGATAAGCATTGGTACGGAACCCATAAAAATGTAAAAAAAAATTATACTTATTGTTAAAATCTTTATAAAATATCTGATAATTTGATGTGCATATGTCTAATGATCATTTTTGACCGCCAAATGGCATTTTTTTTTTACTTTTATCATTAGATCTCCGAAACCGCTAGACCTGCCTTCATGAAAATTTGATCAATTCTTCATCTTGTCAATACAAGTAAAATGTTTTTTGAATTATTAAAATCGGACGCTCCGTTCTCTTAAAAACTGAGTTACCGTTTTCGGCACTTTTTGCCCCGTATCTTTGGAACGGCTGGACCTGCCTTCGCCAAAAACTAATCAGCACGTCTCCTTATCAATACGAATCGAATTCTTTTTGAATTATTCAAATCGGTTGATCTGTGTTCCCGAAATCGTCGACGAAAATTTGTATCCGCACATACATACACACACGCACATACATACATACACACACACACACACACACACACACACACACACACACACATACATCCATTTTTTCTAAGGTATGCCAAAATGTTCAGAAACCTCTGAAACGTAAAGATATATAAAAATTTTCATTTTCGATTTTTTTGCGATTACTATAACTTGCCCTACGGGAAGTTAAAAAATCTCGCAAGAAATCTCACAAGAAGTCAAACATGATTTTAAATTGTATACATTATTGCTTTTGCTTATTGGTAGGTACCTGACCAGTTTGGTAAATACCCCATATTCATAAAATTTTCACGAAGTTTACTCAGGTAGAAAAATAAACTTGTACAGATTTTGTACAACTAATCCTCAAAAACCGTGACAATGTATTTTGCAAGCATTTCTAGGGTTGAGTTGAAAATGAATACTGGCGTTCGTAAAATCATAAATTATAGAATATTATATATAGAGATGTAAGGTTTTGATAATAAGATATAACATTGAATCCATAGCATTTGAAATAGAATATTTGTTTAGAATATTTTTGCAATAGTGGAAATCTTTCCAGCAGAAAAAGAAAGCTGGTTTGTTTCGCATTTGCAGAACAAACAATTTTTATATGTCCTCAAAACATAATTAACAACGATGAATAACAATTTTTAGAAGATAAATATTTCGAAAAAAAAATAAGTTTGTGAAATTTAAAATGTGAACTAAGTTAACAGCAGAACTAAGTTCATCATCATCAGAATTATACCTTGTAAAATTTAGAACGCATATATAAAAGTAGTATAAAATTACGTGCTATAAATAAATAAATTGTATGCTACAATAAATTTAGTTTCTTTAGATAGAAACAAAAGAAATTGAGATTACCTAAGTAAGATTTTGATAATAAGATATAACATTTAACCCATATAGAAATTTTGTAAGAAGTATAGTGGAAATCTTTCCAACACAAAAGAAAACTGGTTTGTTTCGCATTTGCACCAAAAAACAATTTTCTTAAGTCCTCGGAACATAACAACTAACTACAATAATAAGATAGAATAGTAAGATGAATAACAATTTTTGAGAGATAAATATTTTGAGAAAAATAAGTTTGTAAAATTTAAAACATGAACTAAGTTAACAGCAGAACTAAATTCATCATCATCAGAATTATTTCTTGTAAAATTTAGAACGCAGTAGTATAAATAAAATTTAACGTGCCACTAAAAATTTAGTTTCTCTTGAAAGAAACAAAGGTAATCGAATGTAAATGCATTCAATAAATAAAATGATAAATAATAATGGAATATGAGTTAAAATTGATTAATCCTTACATGAAAAATTTAAAAACGATTACAAAAAATCGTATTTTTAACTTCCCGTAAGGTAAGTTACAGTAATCGCAAAAAAATCGAAAATTAAATTTTTTATATATCTTTACGTTTCAAAGGTTTCTGAATATTTTGGCATACCTTAGAAAAATGGATGTATATGTGGGTGTGCGGATACAAAATTTCGTCCACGGTTTCAGGAACACCGATCAACCGATTTGAATAATTCAAAAAACATTCGATTCGTATTGAGAAGGAGACGTGCTGATTAGTTTTTGGAAAAAGCAGGTCTAGCCGTTTCGAAGATACGGGTAAAAAGTGCCAAATACGGTAACTCAGTTTTTAAGAGAATGGAGCATCCGATTTTCATAATCCAAAAAAAGAATGAAGAACTGATTAATTTTTTGGGAAGGCAGGTCCAGCGGTTACGGACTCTCAATAAAAATAAGATAAAAAAATGTCAATTGGCGGTCCAAAGTGTTTATTGGACATATGTACGTCAAATTATCAGATATTTTATAGAGATTTTACTAATGTGTACACATTTTGTGCAAATTTTTTTGGGTTCCATACCAAGATTTTTAATTACGGTACGGGAACTTCCAGCAATTTGCCTTAAGGCACAACGCCATGCACCCATACTATATATAGATACTATATAGCATTGGTACAAGAGAACTTTCGATTGAAATTGTTTTGTTCACATATAGAAACAATCATATGCTGCAGGAGATATTTAGGCATCAAATTTTGTATTTCGATATACCTACAAATTAAATTTTAAAATCATTCTGTTTGTGAACCAAATTCTATAGGTCGCCAAGATCGGTGGTTGCTTGAGGCATTGACAGTCGTAGTTCAATATTATAGAAAATCTTAAATTTTGTTTCAATGTGAAATATATTTTTCATAAACTAGTTTAATATTTATATGAAATATTTAAAAACGATTGCAAAAAATCGTATTTTTCAGGTTCTTTTCAAATTAACAATATCTCTGCTAGATTATAGAAGAAAAGAAAGTAATCTCTCAAGGATCAACAATACTATCAAATTTCACATTTCGTCCTTCGGTGTTGAAAAAAACACGCCTCTCCTAACAGTGGGGCTTAGTAAAGGTTGATCACGGAAGGGAGAGCGAATATTCCTTCCGAATGTTTGGTATGCCAAGGGGAATATTTCCCCAAAAACAGGATCAATACCAAAAATTCTGTTACTTTTTCAGAAACGATTAGAGGAAGAAGATAATTATAAAACTGGTATAATATAAAGCAATTTCTTCTTAAGGTTCTTCTTAAAATTTAAAACAATCTCATGAGATTGATTAAATTAAATATGTAATGCTTATCATAAATATCTACCTCAATTCAATAACAACAGCAACAAACAAAAGAATTTTTTATCCAAATAAATTTTCCCAAAATCGGTGTCTTTTAACCACAACAATTAATATTTTCAAGCTGCCTTTAGAAATATCAAATAAATACTAACTGAACTTCTATTAAAATTATTTTAATAATATTGGCTAGAAAAATTCTACTGCTATCTGGATTAGATATAAAAAGTATGTCTCTATTTTGAGACATGTGACTCCGAAACTTCAAGTATCTTAAAATTTTGAATATTCGGAGATAAAGAAATTTTTTTGATAAGAAAGAAAATAATATAAATATGAGAGTGATATATATATATATATATATATATATATGTGTGTGTGTGTGTGTGTGTGTGTATTGAATATTATTATTTTTTATGTCAAATAGAACAAGAACAAGCTATTGACAGATTAACCTAAAATTATTTATATTTTTTTGTTTTTATATTAGGATTAGTTTTTTATACATAATTATAAACGAAAGTAATTGTTAAAATTATTTTCCGCCATTTAAATATTTTTTACAAGTCTAAATCATTTTTTTGTGGTCTCTATAAACGTATAAAAAATGTCATCCTGAAGCAAGTATATTGTCAGATTTTAATAAATGAATTAAAAGTGATTATTGAAACTAAATTATATACTAAGCATTCAACTAATATATAATACTCTTTTATAGAAATATTAAACTGAAATAACGAAAGATATGTCAGGATAATATGGTTTCATAACTATTGCATTATGTGCCGACTAATCAGCCATTACTCGGCTTTTTGATATATGTACTTTTAGAACAAAATAACCTCTAAATTAAATACTACTCGCATAAATATTTAAGCAAATGCTATAATTATAACCATCAATTATCCTCAAAATAAATAAATAAATAATTTTCTCTACTTACAAATTTGACAATTAAGCTGTTTCTCTCCATGCAATCCAGCTGCATATACTGTCTTCCACAACACTTAAAACGCATTTATTTACATTTAAAACAATAACAAAATAATATCCGACATTTATTTATTTACATTTCATTATTTATTCGTAATAATTTACATTATAACTACACTACTTCGTTTAGGTTATGTTGTGATGTTTATTGACTAGTTCGCAAGGCTTGCCCTTGAAGCCATTATTGATAATGGCGACGGCTCGGCCGTTGACTATGTACTGCCTGCATGGATAGAACGGGAGTAATTCGTTTTCTTTTATGCGATGTTTTTCCGGTGCAATTTCCGGTTGGTTTATAAAAAAAATTACATTGCTGACAACATAATAAAATAATTAATATTAAAATTATATTACTGACAATATAATAAAAATAAATAATTTTTATTTGTTTATAAAATTCATATAAACAAATTAATCAATAAATTAAAAAAATAGTGATTGATTAATTAATTACACATATGGTATCTATAATTATAAAAAAAACATTATTTATATCGACAATAATATTGTAATTTAGTTGTTTATTTTAGTTTATTGAATTTGACTCTGTGATCAATATAAAAACATACAAAAATACAACACCAAGAATTATTTATAATATTTTAATAAATTAGAATAAATTATATATCTGCCATATGTTTTACACACATTAAATCTTTTATAAAATTATATATGTGAAATATATTTTTAATATGCTGAGGCATAATTTTAGAAAAAAAATTCTTCATTTGGGGTTTTAATTTTGCCATTTGGGAACATTATAAATCATACGCAGAAATACGAAAATATATAAGTATCTTATCGAATCATGTAAAAAATGATAAGCCCATCTTATACTCTTCTTTCGTCTATATATATTATATGCCTGTAATATATTTACATACAAATGTTTCAATAATAAAAATCAATAACAAAATCATTAATAAAGTTATGTATAATAAACTTTTTAACTTATTGAAACATAATTTTAAAATTTTCTCTGTCGCGAACTGTTCAGAGCCTGGATATTAAGATAAAATATATTAGAATGCTAGCATTTCCAAGGACCTATTTTAGCCTTTCAAAAAAATATTCTGGACATTATATATTTTACAATGTAATATTCAATAATGTATATATACACATTTTTGAGTCCAAAGCTTAGAACCTGTAAGACTGTTGTGATTTTAATAAAATTTAGAATATGATACAAGATTTTCTAAAAGTAAAGTGAATTCAATA